TCTGTAGGTTGTCAATTTCTTCTGTTGATTATTTTCTTTGCTGTGCAGAATTTTTTAAATTTAATCAAGTCCCATTTATTTATTTTTGCTGTTGCTCTAAGTGCCTTTGGGTCTTAGTCATAAATTCTTTCCCTATGCCAATATCTAGAAGAGTTTTTCCTAAATTTTCTTCTAAAATTTTTATAGTTTCTATAATTTTGAAAAACTAAGTTTCTTATATGAGAGAGAAATAAAGACTTTCTCAGACAAGAAAACACCGAGGGAATTTGTCAAAACCAGATCTGCCCTGCAGGAAGTACTCAGAACCACATTATACATGGATCAGCACAATAGTCACCCACCAGTGTAAACTCATCCGAAACCTAAAGCTCAGAGACCATACATCATAATGTCTCAAGTGGTGAAACAAAGCAATAAAGTTCTACTCAACAAGATGAACAGAAATCTACCCCACTTATTAATTCTCTCAATAAATGTGAATGGCTTTAACTCCCCACTCAAGAGACATAGGCTGGTTGAATAGGTAAAAATATATAAGCCAAGTGTTTACTGTCTCCAGAAAACACATCTAACCCACAAGGACTCATTCAGACTCAAGGTGAAGGGATGGAAAATAATATTCCATGCAAATGGAAACCAAAAGAAAGCTGGCATAGCTATTCTTTTTTTTTTTTTTTTTAAGTTTTCCATTTTTTTTTTTATTTCGGCATATTATGGGGGTACAGATTTTAAAGTTTCAATAAATGCCCTTCCCCCCCTCCCCCCACAAGTCTGAGTCTCCAGCATGACCATCCCTCAGATGTGCACATCTCACTCAATTATGTATGTATATGCCCGCCCCCCTCCCCCTCCCACCTGCCCAATACCCTATTAACTGTAGTACCTATGTGTCCACTTAGGTGCTACTCAGTTAATACCAGTTTGCTGGAGAGTATATCTGGTGCTTGTTTTTCCATTCTTGGGATACTTCACTTAGTAATATGGGTTCCAGCTCTAACCAGGAAAATATAAGATGTGCTATATCACCATTGTTTCTTAGAGCTGAATAGTACTCCATGGTATACATATACCACATTTTATTAATCCATTCTTGAATTGATGGGCACTTGGGCTGTTTATACCAGATAACATAGATTTCAAATCTGCAAAAGTAAAGAAATACAAAGATGGTCATTATATAATGATGAAGGGATTAATTCAATAAGAAGACATAACAATTCTAAATATTTATGTACATAACACATGTGACTAGATTCATAAAGCAAACTCTACTTGAGCTAAATAAAATGATAAATAGCAACATTATAATAGGTGAGTACTTCAACGCCCCACTGACAGAATGAGACAGATCCTCTGAGCAGAAAATAAGAAAATAAATGGTGGGCTTAAACAGAACTTTAGAACAAATGTGCCTAACGGACATTTACAAAACATTCTACCCAATAACCACTAAATATATGTCATTCTCGTCAGCTCATGAAACATTGTCTAAGACTGATCATATCATTGGCCACAAAACATATTTCAACAAATTTAAAAAAATAGAAATTATACCATGTATCTTCTCAGACCACAGCAGAATAAAATTAGAAATCAATTCCAACAGAAACATTCATCTCTATAAAAAGTCTTGAAAATTAAGCAACCTACTACTAAATGATTATTGGCTCAAGAAGGAAATTAAGATAGAAATCAAAAGATTCTATGAATTAAATGACAAAGTGTACACAAGTTATAAAAATCTATGGGATTCAGCACAGGCAGTCATAAGAGGAAAACTCATAGCCATAAATGCCTACATTCAAAAGACAGAAAAATCACAAATCAACAATCTAATGAATTATCTCAAGGAAATGGAAAAGGAAGAGGAAACCAATGCCAAACTCAGCAGAAGAAAAGAAATAACTAAGGTCAGACCAAAACTAAATGAAATTGATAACACAAGAATTATACAGAAGATTAATACAACAAAAAGTTAGTTCTTTGAAAAGAAATACAGTCAAGAGGCCTCTTGCTACATTAACCAGAAAGAGAAAAGAAAGGACTCTAATAAGCTCAATAAAAAATGAAAAAGGAGATATTAAAACTGATAACACAGAAATATAAAATATCATCTGTGAATACTATGAAAACCTGTATGCACATAAACTGGAAAACCTAGAGGAAATGAAAAAATTCCTAGAAACAAGCAACTAAAACAGCATGGTACTGGCACAAGAACAGAGACCTAGACCAATGGATTAGAATGGGGAACTCCCAATGTAAAAGCATCCTCATATTGCCATCTGATCTTTGACAAAGCAGACAAAAATACGCACTGGGAAAAAGAATCCCTATTCAACAGTGGTGCTGGAAAAATTGTCTAGTCACACATAGTAGACTGAAGTAGGATCTACACTTTAAACACTCACAAAAACTAATTCACGATGGATAACAGACTTAAACCAAAGGCATGAAAGTGTAAGAATTCTAGAAGAAGATATTGCAAAACTCTTATAGATATTGACCTAGGCAAAGAATTTATAAAGAAGACCCCAAAAGAAATCACAGCAACAACAAATATAAATAAATGGGACCTGATTAAATTAAAAAGCCTCTAAACAGCCAAGAAAACCATCAATAGAGTGAATAGACAATCTACAGAATGGGAGAAAATATTTGCATGCTATACATCTGATTAAGGGCTAATAACCAGAATCTACAAATAATTCAAACAAATCAGCAAGAAAACATCAAACAACTCCATTAAAAAGTGGGCAAAAGACATGAACAGAAGCTTTTTAAAACAAGACAGACTAATGGCCAATAAACATATGAAAAATGCTCCACATCTCTAATCATCAGGGAAATGCAAATCAAGACCAAAGAGAGATATCACCTAACTCCAGTGAGAACAGCTTTTATCAAAAAGTCCCAAAACAACAGATACTGGCGTGGATGTGGGGAGTTTCCTATACATTGTTGGTGGAACTGCAAACTATTACACCTATGGAAAGTAATATGTAGATACCTCAAAGAGCTAAAAGTAGACTGACCATTTGATCCAGCAAGCCCACTACTGGGTATTTTCCTAAAGGAGAAAAAAGACATTTTATAAATAAGACACTTGCACTCGAATGTTTTCAGCAGTACAATTCACAATCACAAAGATGTGGAGACAACCCAAGTGCCCATCAACACATGAGTAGATTAATAAAATGTGCTATATGTGTACCATGGAGTATTACTCAGCCATAAAAAGTGGTGAACTACTACCTTTTGTAACAATCTCGATGCAACTGGAGACCATCATTTTAAGTAAAGTATCGCAAGAATGGAAAAACATACACCTCATGTACTCGCTACTAAATTGGAACTAAGTGATCAACATTCATGTGCACATATGGTAGTAAAATTCAATGGAAATGAAGCAGGTGGCAGGGGGCAAGAGGAGATAGGCAAATTCACATCTATTTATTTAACCCCACCGAAAAGCATATCTATGTTTTTTATGCCTTACATTTAAGTGTTTTATCCATATTGAATTAATATTTGTTGAGTAATGAGAGGTAGGGGTTCTGTTTTGTTCTTTCATATGTGGCTATGCAATTTTACCAGCACCTTTTATTATTTCTTTCAATTCTTTTGTTCATAATTTCTTTTTGTTCCTTAAGTCACAAATTATACTCCATCTCTTAGTTGTTTAGCTATATTATTTTTACGTCACCTCCCTAATGCTTTCATCTTGAAGATTTTTGGGATCAATATTATGAGGATGCTGAAAAAGAAATTTGATCATATATCCATGCATGAATACACAAACATTTGTTTGTTAAAATAATATCATTTTCTTCTGTTAGTATTTATAGCCATAAAAATGTCATAAGGTGGACCTCGGTAGAAATAAGGTGATGTAATTATTGTTATTAATTTACTAGCCTTCAGGCTATAGACTTTCTCTAGTTCTAGCTAGGAAGCTGCTATTAATATCTCACAAAAACTAGGAACCAGGTAAGTAATTTAAAACTACAAAAACCATTTATTTTGCTATGCACTTGCAGTTTGGACAGAGCTCAGTGGAGATGGCTTTTCTCTGCTCTACATGGATATCTCATGGCAGTTTGACTAGGGCTGCAGGATCTACTAACAATGTGGCCTTCACATGGCTGGCTGGCTGGTGCCAGTGTATGTCCCAAGGCCTGGGCCTGGAAACTGGCATAGCATCCCGTTTGTCATATTCTATTGGTCAAGAAGTCATGGACCCCAGAGTCAAGGAAAGGAGACATATACCCTACCTTTCAATGGGTAGAGTGTCAAAAAATTCTGGAGGCATGTTTTAAAAGCTTCATACTACCTTCAAATATTGACTATTTTTTTTTAACAACTCACTTCCTGCCTCTGGCTTCAGTAGCCCAGAGATTGTTTCTTTCCTCCTTGGCTACTTTCTAGAAACTCTAAGAAAATTCTCCCCACTTTATAAGTAGAACATTTCAGCTTCTCTGGCTGGCCTTGCATCCAAATGCTTGAAGTCTACCTTGTCCAGCCAATTTCTCAATGTGCCCAGCCAACCCACAGGCTTGAGAGAAGCCTTGGAAGTTTCTGGTTTTCCCCTTCCCTTCCCATAGCAACCTCTGCAAGGGGAAGAGGCAAACAAAGAGTTTTACTTGTCACCAATATAAACTGTGTCACTTCATCTAGAAACAATTTTGGTCCATTTTAGTCAAATAGGCTCTTCTACCCTCTTTCCTTTGCATAAACACATGATTCCATCTTCTGTGGACTCTTTGGAGCTAGTCTCCTGCTCCTCCTCCTTGGATCAGCTTCCTCTTGTCCTCTGGGCCCCAACTCTATAAGGCCTTCTCCTCAATCTTCTGCTACCACATTCTCATGAGATTTGAGAAACTTGGAGACTGAGAAAGGAGACCCAAAATATTTGTGACCTCGTTTTCAGCAATCACAAATACTTTCACTTCCATGTTCCCCCCTCTGAGTGAGCCAGTTTAGACCTTGTGTACTGGTACCTGGGAGCCAAGTTGGGAGTCCCAACTGGGGCCTAGGAGAGCACAGGTGCTCTCTCTGTGGTGTCACCATCCTCTGTCAGGATCTGCAGCCTAGAAAGTGGCAAGAAGGGGAGGTCAGCAGGTGCAGGCAGCAAGCAAGCAGAGGATTAGTCTTTACCTCCCTTCCTTTATCATCTTTGTCAATGTGGGTTTTCGCATTTCTTATTTACTTATAACCAGTTTTGTTCTGAAACTTTTTAAAACTAGATTATAAAACAAATTTTATGTTGTAAAGTTAGAAAGAAAATGAGAAATCAGGTAGAAAGTGGCAACTGATAGCTGCTGGTGAGAGGCTACTCACTCTGATGTATTAACTTGCAAATGTTACCTAGCTGTGATCATTTGAACCCTAAGGTCCCTGTTATTAGTTTGGCTTTATCTATCTTGGTGTAGACCTAGAAATGTAACTATTACATCACAGGGTAGCTTTATTAACATTACCAGTTTTCCAAAGTAGGGGTGCTAATTTTCATTCCACCAGCAATGCATGAGTGTTTCAATCACCATATTCTTGACTTTTTGTTTTATCCTAGAAAGTGTTGAGAAAGACAGATCCCCAGTCTATCAAGGGAGGTTTTATTTGTTTATAGGAAAAGGGAGTAAAGGGGAAAAAGAAAATAATTTGTCTCTGACGTCTGTTACTTGATTATATCTCCTGAGAAAAAGTGGCCATGTTCAAAATGTTCTCAGGTGTCCTGTAATTTATGTCTTCTTTCCAATGGTTCCAGTTATTCAATCATCACACCTAAGGCATTTTCATGCAGAAAAATGTGCAATCATAGCCATAGAAATTTCTAGAACAAAAATTACATAGAAATAATTTTCAGTAATTTACCAAAGGGAAGTACTTTTTCCAGGCAATTTTCCCACATCAGCTAAAAAGGACATGCATATGGAATTGACTGCAATCTACACATTATCTCTCATGTCTATTCATCTCCCTTCCTCCCATCCTATTAATATCTTGCCATTGGTTCTATTGTACTGACTTATCTCTCCAGAACATAAAGGAGAAATTATTGATATTATCTGTGTGAAGTTATATGTTTGCTCAGGCTGCAGGGTCACCATAGTTTCCATAGGGACACTTTGTTTGACTCTAGGTTATTTTGCTCAATGCACACACACGCACACACATACACAAACACACACGTGCATGCAATATAAATGCTCCTTGACTTATGATAAGATTATGTCCCAATAAACCCATCATAAGTTGAAAATAATGTAAGTAAAAATGCATTTAATTTTTAATTATTAAAATGCATTTAATACAAACACCTCCCATTAAGGCCCCATATCTTACATAAAGGATTGAATTTCAACATGAGGTTTGGAGAGAACAAACATCCAAACCATAGCATATACCTAACCCACTGAACATGGTACCTTAGCCTAGCATCAGTTGGGCAAAAGCATCCAATATAAAGCCTATTTTATAACAAAATATTGAATAGCTCAGCTGATTTATTGAACATTGTACTAAAAGTGAAAAACAGAATGGTTGTTTACCCTTGTGATTGTTTGGCTGACTGGGAGCTACAGCTTATTACCACCACCCAGAATTGCAAGAAAGTCTCCTACTACATATTGCTAGCCTGAAAAAACATCAAAATTCAAAACCTGAAGGGTGATTTCTATTGAATGTGTATCATTTTCACACCACCCTAAAGTTGAAAAATCACAAGTTGAACTATTGCAAGATGAGGATTGTCTGCATAAGGCATATGACATTTCCTGAGCACCTATTGTATGTAAAATTTATTCTGTCTTCCGTGGATGGAAGAGATGGTACACAACTCATTTGGATATAGTAATGTGGTGGCCCTAAAGACATAATATAAAACATCAAGGTGCTCAACTTTTTCTTTAAGTGTATGGATTTTTGCCTTGTTTGAAGTTGTTTTGGTCTATTTCATTCCTAAATCTACTGAATCAGAATCTCTGGAAGTGAGCTCAGATTTTTGGCATTTTAAATAAGCTTCCCAAATGATTCTTATATTTGGGAAACTCTTCTGAAAGTCATATTGACGGCTTTTCTGAAGCTGCTTAGAATGACCATCTAATTTGTGGTACTTTCAAAGTGAGAGAAGTCACTATTATGGCAGGTATACTATTATTGAATACCAGGGACTTCCCAGACAGACCAAGAAGTCCTTTCACTTTCTACATCTAAAGCACCATCGTCCTAGATCATCAGGGCAGGCCCTCATTATTTATACTCCAGATTATAGTGCTGGCCTTGAAACTGCACTTGGCCTTTCCATTTGTGTGCCTTTCTTTCATTCTCTCTTCTTCACTGATGCCCTATATACATAAATGATCATCCTATTAGTATGCTTGAAATTGGTTAATGTTTCTGCATCATTTAAACTATAACAGGGAACATAAACATATATATAAAATATATTTATTGTGTAATATGTTATATGTGATATAATATAATGTAATAAAATATAAAATAGATATATAATAGTATTCATATGGATAATACAACATATAATGATAAAAAGAACAAAAGAGTTCTTATTTAGACAGTATATACCAGACACCGATTGGTAAATTGCTGCTGCTGTTACCCATTCAAGTTCTCCGTGTCCTACTCCAGAACCACCCTGGTTCCTGCCTTCAGAACGCCATGGACTTTCCCACGGTCTCACAACCATTAAGTCTAAGCTTGGCATAGTAGTGCCCTGATGACCCCAGCTCCAGTACTGTGACTTGAAAATGTACTAGGTGAGTGCCTAGGTTGTACTGTTGATAAAATATTTTTGAACATCCATCCTGAGAATAAAAATCTCCTTTTCAGGATATACAAGATGCTTTATAACTTGGCTTCTTCGTACCTTATCCATTCTATGGTCCAATCTCTTTCATTCTATGCTTCCATTCTGCAAAAATTTGCCATCTTCTCCTATGCTTCAGTGCTTTTGAATCTGCTTCCTAGACCACTCTCTTTTCCTAGTTTTCTTTTTCCCAAATTCTTACTTCTTGCTTATAATGCAGCTTAATTAATATTTTTTTTTCTGTGATGGTCTTTCCTAGCTCCTATAGGCAGATTTGAATGCTTTTCTTACACTCACATTTTATTTTGTGCATATCTTTAGCACAGTAATTTTTTTTTTTTTGTTTTTGTTTTTTTTTGAGTTTTTTTTTTTTAGCACAGTAATTTTTAAAATGTGTCTTTTAATTTATATGTTCATCTCCCTTCTAAACAGCGATATTCTTGAACATTGGGCCCAATATATGTACATTTTCTGTACATATATTGATTGAATGAATGAAGAACACTTGTTTGAAAGAGCACACATATTTTTAAAAAGTTGATTAAAATTAGTTAGATATGGATATTCATAAATGTGATATATTTTAAGCTGAACTTTGAAGGAAATAATGGATATGGGGGAATGGAGATGAGGTTGATTTATGTTCCCAATGAGGGCAATATCAAAAAGCAAAACACAGAAAAGGAAATGATTGGTGGTTGGGGAATGTCAGTATTGGGTTAGTAAGTGAATAAAATAGAAGAAAAAGAATTATTCTTGCAGCTTTTATTCTTTTATGTCAGTTTGAGGAGTTCAGAGCTACACTACTAGAGGCAATAAATCCAAAGCAAATCCAATACAAACATCCTCACCATAACCTTGGGTTTGTAACAATTGATAGTTTGTTCCTCCCTAGGCTTGGTTCCAACTCTATACAATATCACCATCTGTGTCCCAGAATCATGCAAATCCACAGCGAGCACTCACTAATCCTACTGTGCATGTACCTTCTTTGAGCTCATCTTGTTTTTCTGTAAAAGGTCAATTGATGGATGCTTTGGCCTTCTGTTTCATTGTCCCCTAAGTATATAGTTCTTTGCCAAATGTTAATTCCCTTTAAATTAAGGTCCAAGGAAGAAAGAAATCTATTTAGTGATTTATCTGGATGTTCCTACAGCTGGCTTTGGGTCCTTGCTCTTTAAAATGTGACCTTTCTGTGTTTGCTTTAATACTTCACTTATTTGCTTTAATACTTCAAATTTTATCTGTGATTCAATAGAAGCCAATCCTTGTGGCTTTGGAACTATTTCTTGCCCTTCCTTCAAGAAAACATTTCCTCTGCCTTTAATATAAAGCTTGTAGATTAACTGAAGTTGTTTACTTTTTACCTTTTTAAGACTAAACTCACCTCTAAAAAACTCACAGAGTGAGAAAAATCTATCCATCACCAGGTTAAATAACTTCTATCATGGGGTTTTGTCATCTCTTCCGAGTTACACAAAAATGAAGGCAACCTATGTACATTTCATCGTAATGTTAAGCAAAAGCAAAAGTTTTTTTATGACCATTCTGGTTTTTACAAAATAAATTATATTTATAGATTTGTTCTTGAGATTAACCAGTGCTAATCCTTTTATGTCATGCCAGATCATGTTATTTTCTCAAGAGATGCTGGCCTTAGAAAATTTATTTCTTCTATGAGGTAAATTCTTCCTGCTGGAGAACTTTTTAGATAATGCTATGTGCTGTCCCTCAGGTTTTAAAACTTTCCTCTGTCTTGGGTTGGGTCTCTAGATATTCTTGGTAATTTATCTACCTGATTCTACTTGAAGGGTACCTCTCAGCCCAGGAAAGCTCTTACAAGGAGGACACTACTTTTATGTGCATGGTTCTCAAGATTAATTCCGAGCCAGCTTTCAATTCAACCATTGCTCCTTTTTGTTTTATTTTCTAATCTGTTTTTTAGACTCTGCCTCTACCAGCTCCACTCTTCAGAAAGGTTCTTTTCTACTAATTTCACCTTGTTTTTCTCAAGCCAATCACACTGCCCCTTCCTGATGGCGCTCCAACCACACAGGACTTCCTATCAATTCTCAGTGACAGCTTATTCCCACTCTAGGGATGTCATGCTTTCTGGAGTCTCTGCCTAGATTGTTCTGTCCCTCACCTTCCAACCTTATAGCTTCGTGGCTAGCTTCTTCATAGCTATTTTGGTTTCCTCTAAATTTCTTCAGATTTTAACTTAACTATTACTTTAAAGGCCTTTTCTGACTTCCCTAGATTGTG